CCCGAATCCCAAACCAAAATTTTTCGGGACGGAAATTTGAAGACCAATCCCAAACCAAATTTTCGGGAATCCCAAATTTCGGGAATCCCGAAATATTTTCGGGATTTTGGGACAAATCGGGAATCCCAAATTGAAATATGAAATTATGAATTGTTCTTCAAATATATAATTCAAGAACACATTCATGAACTAGGAATTTCATTTCATTCACACTACCATTTAATTGAACACTGGCATGCCTGACTGTTTTTATCATAGTCAAAATTCAAATTAATTAAACCCTTTTTGCAATCTGTTGAGAGACAAAAGAATCAAGCCCTCTGAAATCATCAGCCATGGCAGCAGCAATAATAAAATCCACATGAATATCAAACAGAACAAGAAAAATATGCAAGGTGTAGGGCATTCCAGGTTGCAGAGCATGAATTAGAAACTACTAGCATCAATTATAAAAAAATAATATATATATGTATAAATATATATATATATATAATAATTAATATTATATATTTTCGGTTCGGTATGGGATTCCCGAAATATCGAGAAGCCAATCCCGAATCCCATACCAAAATTTTGGGATCGGTTTGGGATAACATCCCGAAAATTTCGGGAATTTCGGTTTGGGAAATTTTTGGTTCGGTTCGGGATTTTCGGGAATTTTTTCCACCCCTAGTGAAGTCTAATCTGAAGAGGAATAATTTAGGCGGGTTCCACACACTGAATAATTGTACTCATGCATCTTTAACATCATGCCCATGCATGGTTGTGGTTCATAACTTAAAAAAACTGTCGTACGTACCAAACATCACTTTAATTCCATATGCAATGTACCATGGATTCTAATATTCCAATCAAAGAAACGCCATTCAGTCACTTCTCATGTCACCAAAAAAAAAATTGTAGAAATAATTATATTGTTGATATTTTAGAAGATAAAGGTTTGTTTGAAAATATTTTTAAGGTGATCGAAAACACTTTTAGGGTAAATATTTTTGAGTTCAAAAAATGCTTGAAATATTTTCTACAAGAAATATCAATTATGCTTTTCTTGCAGAAAGTACTTGACTTCAAGTGCGTTTTTAGAATTAACTTGCATTTTACTGAGAATTGATTCTAAAATATTTCACCAAAAATGTTTTCAGCTATTTTAAAATAACTATCAAACTAGCCTTAATTTTTTTCTTTTTTTCTTAATTATTATATTTTGATACCTAACAGCTAAACCCTAAACCACGAAGATACATTACGTGAAAGATCACGTATATATGCTCATACGAATCGCATGCATATTTTAGTATTTTACAGTATATAATTTAATAAATCGACATTTTAGAGATAATGTATGTGTTATTAAAATAAAAATAAAAATTGAACAAACGATATTATCTACACTAAAAAGAAGGGTAATCTTAGCCTCACAATGGATTAGTAATTATATGGTTCAAATTTTGTTTTTAACGAGAATCGAACCTAAACCTCTCATATATATATATAATAAATTTTTATAAAAAAATATATGTTATATGTGTGTGTGTGTGTGTGTGTGTTTTTGTTAATAAATGAAGAAGAAAAAAATGAAGAAACCCTAATTATTTTGTCGAGGGAAGAGAAAAATTTCTTCCAATGACATTATTACCCCTTGTCTAGGAATCGAGTGCTAGCGAGTTGTGGGGACGCAATGGACCTCAAAACCTGAGGAGGTTGGTATTGTAATATTCTTAGGGAAGTTTTATTTGGATTCATTTGTTTTTTTTCTATCTGCACCAAACTAAAATAATTTTTTTCCACCAAACTTACAAATTTGCCCTTAATAAATAAGAAAAATAAATAAAAGCTCGTTTGTATGTACTTTTAAAATGACTGAAAGTGTTTGTAGAGAAAATATTTTTAGGTTCCAAAAGCATTTTAAGTGTTTTCTACGAGAAGCATCAGTTATGTGCTTTTTCCAGGAAGCACTTTAAGTGATTTTCTAGGATTTGTTAGCATTTTTACTAAGGATTGTTTTCAAAAATATTTTCATCAAAAGCGCTTTCAGTCATTTTAAAAGCATATTCAAACGAACTCTAAATAAAAATGGTGAATTCTCTCTACACCAATAACCTTAAACTCACCGCACCACTGCACCTCACCATCTTTTCATACGAACCCAAACCAAACAATGGCAAAATTTTATCCTGATCGAGGTCGTCGACGATGGTTAATTCCTTCCATTCTTTTTCTTCTTTTTCTTTTCCTCGATCTTCACATAACCTTGAGAAGAATGTGAACCACCATGCATTGTCATGGCTCCACACCATTCTCCATCAACACCAATTTACAGCTGCCTCTCTCTTTCCTAATTGATCGAATCCGAGTTCGCATAAAGAAGCAAGAAAGAGAGAAAGGAGAGCATCGATTGGGTTCGTCGGAGTTTCAATTGTGTTTACCAGAAAAAAAAAAAAAAAAGAAAAAAAGGAGCGGTGTCCTGGTTTGCTGGGCAGCGTGAAACCTCCCAATGTGTTTTTCTCGATGGTGGCTGGAGCATATACAAGTTCTAATTGGTTTCAAATCCTTTTTATTTATTTCAGGGCAAAGTTGGAATTTTATTAAAGAAGTTTTTAGGTTCAATGCAGATGTAAAATAAATAAATGGGTTCAAATAAAATATTTCCAACAGTTTATTTTGTATTCAAATATTTATGAAGAAACCTACCTGCCACATATATATATTTATTTATTTATTTATTTTTGTGGCAGCAAAAAATTGCTTGGAATTGTCGCATATGCTATATACGTTCCATCAGTTGTTGCAACTTGAAAGAAAATGACACATCTTTTTCCATTTTGGGTATTGGATTATCCTGCACCCACGTGGGCTGTCTTCATATGGCAATGTGGTTGTGAATTGACCGAACTACCCATCCTCGAGTACATGCCTTTTCTTTTTTGACCATGCAATTTGAATGCCCTTCTTGCATTCGGCAAATCTGGTTTGCCCTCCGGTCGAAGCAACGTACCATTTCTGGCTTTGTAGAAAAACCAATCCTTGGCATCCTATTTATGCGTCTGGTTAGACTTTTGACAGTGCTGAAGGCCCCACTATATGCAATGGATGTTATTTACTTTCCTACTGTGAATGTCAGCCGTTGGATGATGACCTGGTAACAAGCATGAGAATCTCCGTATTTTGATTTCGCACGACTTCATTCTAAAGTCATTACCTACAAAAAATGCTTAACTGGATGATGCATGATCTAGTAACAAGCATAAAACTCTATATTTTGATCTCACACTGCCTCATGATGGTTTCACGCTGTGTGAGAATTGTGGTAACCATGTAACCCTATCAAACAAAGTTTATCTTCTATATAAGACTGGTTAGCTAGCTATGTCAAAGTTAAAGATTATGGACGCTTTCGTAACCCTTTTGTTCTTGAAATGGTTCTTTCATTCTAAAGTTGGTGGTTCATTGGTTCTTGTCTCTTACATTATTGTGGTTATGGTAATACATTGTTTGGGGTACTACTTTCTCAAAATTTAAGGTCTTGAAAGAAAATAATGTTTGAATGAGAATTCATTCGATGCGGGAAGAAAAATACAACTAAACTAACTCTTACAACGTAACCAATAACTGTAACGCGTGTAACAATATTATTTACTCTTGCGGCTAATAAATTTATAATTAGGATTTGATGTGTCTCAAATTCTTTTTCACATCTCTAATTTGGCAAAAACTTGATAGAGGTTGCTATGTTGAAGGATGCATTTTTTGGTCACCAATTTTATTTTCTATTTTTAAAAAGAAAGATCAAGCCAGTGAGGCACAAAGAGACCTGTTTCAAGGTAGGTAACCAGAGATTTTTCAGTGTACCGAGAACATGGATCGGTACACCAAGTGTTATAATATAAAGTGCTTGAATACTTAAAAAGAAATTTCAACTATTATATTATAATACTTAATATATCTAACCGTGTTTTTTAAACACTAAAAAAAAATCACAGTGACCGACGTTCTACTACTAGTGAGAATAATAGATATCATACGGGCCATTTTTAACTCGAACAGGTACAAATGACCACGCGCCATATTGCGTGTAGTACCACCTCCCAAATCATTTGTGAAATATGATCTCTTTTTTCTTTTTTCTTATTTTAAGAATTTTGGTGCTTCATTACATGGACCTAAAAGAGTCATCACGAAGCTTCTTCTTCTTCTTCTTAACCCATGCTAAATTTGTATCCCAAAACGACAACTAGTTACATAGTTTGCTATAATGTTTCAAGTGTGGCTTTTACACCCCAGAAATGTTACATCATCTATCCCGACATCAAACTAACAGGGGTTTTAATCACGATACGTTCCTGAAATCACACGGATATAAATGGTTCATGAAACTAAAAATTTCGGAAAGGCAATGGAATAACCAAATTAATTTGTCACACTCATTTTTAGGGACCAATTATTGTTTGATTTTTAATTTCAAGGACCAACCGTGACAAAATCTCAATTAACAAACCATCCATGCAGTCAAAATATAGATTGATACAATTTCAAAACCTCATGATGTAATTTTAATATCAATATCTATATCATATCCATTCTTCTATACAACTACTAATATCTAAAAATATCCATTCTTAGGATGTCGTTGAAAGCCACGATGTTGTAATCACCCTAAACAGAAAATAAGGGGTGGAAATTAGACTAAACCATATACAATGGCCAACCATAATAATTTGATTCAAACTTGTCAGGAAAGTGACGATGGACAACCAAAATAATGATTTCATGTTGCAAAATTGTAATGGTCAAATTAGTAAATGACATAATTTCAGAACATTACATGGGAGTTTTCATTAATTTTCACAAAAATATTTTCTTTCAAAGATATATGGTAAGTATGGAGACATACAGAGACAGCCAAACGCGCTCAAACTGTGATTGGTTGTGGAATTCTCTCACACAGAAGAAATAGTACAAAACAAAAATAAAATAAAAAAGGAGACTTTATATGAAACTGGAAAGAACACAACCCTAAATTTCATTTCAGAGTTTCTGGGTGTAGATTGGAACCTGAGGTTATTGACCCAAAAGAAAAATCAGGATTGGAACCTAAGGTTAAGAAGATAAGCCATCACTCAAGAGACAGAACTACAAGACAACCAGATCTAATCTCTCTCTCTCTCTCTCTCTCTCTCTCTGTAGGGTTTTCCAACTGAGTGAGTATCCACCTTTCTCTTGTGTTTCACAAATTTGGTTACAGTTTGGTACTGACCTAGAAAAGGAGGATCAGTTTGTACCAAAGAGAGAGAGAAGAACAAGAAAGGGAAAGAAAATATTGTCAAGATCAAAACTTTTGGAGATTAGATACACAAAATAATATTTTTGGTAATTAAGGACATGGGGAGAGGAAGAGTGGAGCTGAAGAGGATAGAGAACAAGATAAACAGGCAAGTCACATTTGCAAAGAGAAGAAATGGGCTTCTGAAGAAAGCTTATGAGCTCTCCGTTCTCTGTGATGCTGAGGTTGCTCTCATCATCTTCTCCAACCGTGGCAAGCTCTATGAGTTTTGCAGCAGCTCTAGGTAATTCCTTATGTATAATTATATGGTCTGATCATTTTTTTTTTTTTGCTTCTTTAATTTCTGGATTTGAGTTGGGATCTGTTAATTGCTTTCTCTAGTTTCTTTGATTTCTTCGTGGGTTTCATTGGGATCAATATTATACGATTTTAATTGCTTCTAGGCTCTATTAGTGCAAGCCTTTCACAAAGATTCTCTCTTTTTAATTGTTTAATTAATATTTTTCATATGGCTGATGATACAAATTTTGATTTCTTCATGGTTTCATTTGGATCCATATATATGATTTTAATTGCTTCTACAAGTGAAGGCCTCTATCATAATTTTCTCTCTTTTATGTTTAATTGATTAATTTCATAAGCATCTATTTCTAAATTTTCTCTTTTTCTTGAAATCAATTTTTAGTGCTATATATATTGAAAAATTTAATTATACGGTCTCAAAAGGCTGATGATATTAATTTTAAGTTCCATTACCAGAAAAGATTCATTTTCTTATCCTTTTCTAAAATCAATTTTTGTGCTTTATATATAATTCAGGTATCTGGTTTCACAGAGTGATATTTTTTTTTTCATTTTTTTGGATACTAATTCTTGCATTTGATGTTTAAGGTGTTGGGTTTTCATCTACTTCCATCTATCTGATTGCACCAAATGATATTTTGTTCAATTTTTGGGGCAAACACTTGCATTTTTGGGATACTAATTGTTGCATAGCTAATTAAGGTTCTGGTTTTTCATCTAATCTCATATACCTGCAGATTGCACAAACTGATATTTTGTTAGTTTTTTGGGTACTAGTTCTTATATTACTGGATCTGAAGCATAAACATTCCCATTTTACTTGATCTCTGGAGTTTTTTCTTCGAACTTGATTTCTTCTTTGCAAGAAAGGACTGTCTCCTTTTTTTTGTTGAATAAAAATTTGTCTTTATATTTCTTTGCAATTAAGTTCTTCCCTTTCCATGTCTAGAATCTAGTTGTGAAATATATATAATTAAGGGAAATATTTCTGAAATGTCATATAAACTTTTACACTTTTTTTTTTTTTTAGTTCAAAACTTATACATCTTTTTAATTAAATTTGTCATATGAACTAAAGTTTTAAACAATTTGTCATACAAACTTTTTGAAATTATTAATTTGTCATCTCATCCTTTGTTAACCAAGTGTGAGAAGCAAAGAAACTGACAGAGAAAGTAGAGAGAGAAGCTCAGAGAGATAGAAGCTTAGAGAAGAAGAAATGACAAATTAATGATTTCGGAAAGTTAGTATGACAAATCACTTAAAATTTTTAGTTCACATGACATATTGAAATATGTGTATAAGTTCATATGACATTTCAAAAAAAATTCCTATAATAAAAAAGTAATTTTTGCACTCCAATTTTCTCTCATTTCATTCATCTCTCTTTTTCTATCCTTAGGGCTGAACAAATTAAGGGGATTTAAAGGGGGGAAAAAACCAAAGGGAGAAGTGCAAAAGTAGAAAACGAGAGTGTAAAGATCGTTATTCTATAATTAAAATTCTTATAGACTTATTTAATTAGATAAAATTAAAGTTCCTCTTTTGCACTATCTTGTTCTAGCTAGTCTTCTCGTGTGAATTGATTGAGTGAAAGAGAAGATGGCGGATTGGCTCCGGAGGTGTGAGTATCAAACGCCCGGGATCATAATTATTCTATATTTCTTTCCCTATAGAATTTGGGACTCACAGTTCTCTGGCATGGCTTTGAGAAAGTTCGTTGCGATTGTTTTTGTTCTGAAATCCGTATATTTTGACACATCTATCAGTAAAGAACTCTATCTATTGTACAGTGGATTATAAGCTGTGTGACATCTTTCAAATCATGAGTTAAAGAGAAATTAAAGTTTTTCTTCTTTTTGCTTCACCACTTCTTAAAGACTGTATTTTTTTATTTCTCTTTAGCATTCTTTGTGATTGTATATGTATGTCTGTTGTGCATGCAGATCATGTTTGTTAAGTTTTAACAGTGGAAATTATAGTTTTCCATTGTGTTCTTGAGAAAATATTTAGGGTTTTGCCGTGTGGGGGTTCAGGATTTATTATATTTTCAGGTATGTGTAGGATATTCATAAACCAAACAGATTTAACCAAGAAGTGGATGGCCATATCCATTGAAACAGATAGTATACAAAATTGAAAAGAAAATTTGGTTCAAATCCAATGCAAGGAATGAGAGGCAAGTTTCGAACTAATTAGTTTGGTATATACGTACTTTCTAATATGAAAAGATGTCCAATCAGAAGCATACATTTGGTTTAAGTAAAAAGTTTCAACAAAGCTATTTTTGTAATCTTTACGAAGATATTTGATAAAGGGTGATGTTTGGAAGACTAAATTTTGTAAATTATTAATAATTTGATTATTACTTAAGTATTGATTAATATGTTTATTTCCAAATGTAACAGGTCATTTGGTTTAAAATTTTGGTGTCTCTAACATTATCTTATGATGAATTTGGTTTGTGTCATTATCTTTTTCTTTTAATATAATTTATTTCAAACAGAAAGCCCTTTACGTTTTCAAATAAAATTCTTGTGTTTATGTTCTCATGCCGTGAAAGAAAAAAACTAGTATATTTGTTGTTAATACTAACTATAAGGATGTAGTTGTATTATGTTGTCAATTTCAATTGTCAATCATGTACCTTTTTGTTTGAACCAGTTGTCCAATTTTAAAGTTTGACAACACAATACGCAAAGTTGTCCTGTATGAGAATTAATATACATATAACTGTGTAAGTATTAATATATTGTTAGTTAACCCTTCTTGAGTAAAATGAGCAACTCCTTGCTTTATTGTAAATTGTAATGGAGTTATATTTGGGTAACTGACTATGTCACTATTGGTTGCTAGCATGAAAGAATGGGAATATTTGAGACCAAATCTTCTGCAGTCAAAATAGTGCATTGACTTTAATTGTTGACTGGCACATATTATAAATTTAATTTTTTTTTAGTTTTATTGTCATAAACTTAATATATGGCAAACAATAATTGGGGCTACGGAGAGGCCACACCTATTTTGGGTGTAGAAGATTTTATCTCGGAATATTTTTGCTCACCACCCTCAAGTAATGATGATGCTCATCATCCTATATATCATCGTTAGATGAGTTTAATATTTGAAATCTGTTAGTGAATAGACATAAATCTCAAAATTTAAACTAATCCAACAATGATAAATAGAGTGATGAGTTACTACCACTTGAGGGTGATGAACAAAAATGCAATGATAAAATTAAGAATACACGGCATATTGATATGCTAAATACATTAGTTAAGATGACTATTCTGTCATAAATGCATTAATTTATACTTTGTAGAATTAATTTTCTGTATCAGAATTATGCATGGAAAATTAGAAATTAACAAGCTTGTTCTTATACTATCATCATATATTAAACTTTTGATTTATAATACTTCAAGTAATAAGATATTGTATTTGATGTTCCTATTTTCTTGTAACTATAAATCGTATCTACGTTTGTATGATGAGTGAATATATACAACTAGCTAAGCCTAAGCAATCACTTGAAACGTGCCAAGTTTATATCATATTTTTATAAAAAAATTAAAAAAAAAAGACATGCAGATGGTTTCGTTACGGTAATCCACTATTTTGAGAACCAGAAAGATTCATAAAAGTATTTCAGTTTCCCTGACCAGGTTTAAGTCAATTGAGTAGGAAGTTTTTGGCTAGATGTCTTTTGTGGGGAAGGAAATAGTTCTACAACATGGATTTACCATGCATGCCATGGTTTCTTCTCATACCTAAAATTTTGGATCTTTTATTATCCTAATTAACTGGTCGTTTTCTTTTCCTCCTTTTCTCCTCCCTTCTTTAGCATTCTCAAAACACTAGACAGGTACCAAAAATGCAGTTATGGTGCAGTGGATCAAGTTAACAGACCTGCAAAGGAACTTGAGGTAACACTTAACAAATTGCTAGTTTTCTGTACTGTGTATAAATTTAAAACCTTTTACTCGGCCTTTAGAATGTTTGGCTTATAGATTCCTCTCGCGTAGAAGAAACAGAATGTGGCTAATACATTTTTGTTGCCATGCATGTGTATATAGCAGAGCAGCTATCGTGAGTACATGAAACTCAAAGGTAGATATGAGTCCCTACAACGAACTCAGAGGTAAAGAATCATTTGTGAATTATAAATTAAGCACAGTGGACAGTGGTCTTCATGGAATTGTTTACCGCTTAGAAGTTAACATTTTTGAAGAATAATTTCAACTTATGATGAATCATATAGAAACCTTCTTGGTGAGGACTTGGGTCCATTAAACACAAAGGAGCTTGAGCAGCTTGAGCGTCAACTTGAGGGCTCCTTGAAGCAAGTTAGGTCCACTAAGGTAACACCAGTTTAAAATCAAATGAGTTATGCATTCACCATATGGCAGATTTTATCATGCATTTTTAGGGCCCGTTTGAGATTCCTTATGTCCAAAACACTTTTTCTCGTTAGTGCTTCTGCTCGAAGTGATTCAATAGAAACACAAACAAATCTTTTAGTAAAAGTGCTTTGAGGATTCAAACAACTTTAAGTTATGCCTAGCATAGCCATAACCACTTTTCGTTATTTGGAAGCGCATTTAGCCATTCAGAAAGCGTTCTCAAGCAAACCCTTCAGACTTTAATGAAGTATTGGCTTGAACTATCCCCTTCAGCTCTTTTAGGAGATGTGGCATTAATCGTTCATCTCATCTTGCTTTGCAGACCCAGTATATGCTGGACCAACTTTCTGACCTTCAGAACAAGGTATGTGCCTTTCAGTTTTGCTGAGAAATGAAAGCATTGCAGCTTCTTGTGCTTAAAAGTTAATAATATACCTTGTTCTAATTACAGGAACAACTGTTAATAGAAGCCAACAGGGATTTGACAATGAAGGTAAATTTCTGTCTCATGGCTCACTGTTAAATTATTAATGTGCTCTTTTAATTGCAATGCTGTCATTAGTATGAAAAAACTAACAAGTCTCACGACGGTCCAATATGCGCTTTTTATTAATTTAGAATATATGACATGAAATAATATTACCATATGAATATATTGCAGTTGGATGAAATTAGTTCAAGAAATCAACTTAGACAGTCATGGGAAGGTGGTGACCAGGGTATGGCATATGCAACCCAGCATCACCATGCTCAATCCCAAGGATTCTTCCAGCCTTTAGATTGCAATCCCACTTTGCAAATGGGGTAATTATACAAGTATTTAATTTTTAATTATTCATCTGAATAAGTTATGTTAAACTACATTAATAGCTTAATTAGATGCTAATTACTTTGATCAATTTACAGGTACTCTGCAGCGGGGTCAGAGCAGATGAGTGCTACAACTAATGGCCAGCAAGTGAACTGTTTCATCCCTGGATGGATGCTTTGAGATTGTGCTGATGAATCTGATCAGTGCCTCTAATCACTCATAAGAATGCGTGCCCAAGTTTATGCTTTTTTTCCTGGCAATATATAATATGCATGTAACTTATTTTCACATAAATTCAGCAGTGACTGAATTTCAAGGGGACCTTTCAAAGGCCTAAAGTCCTTTTAACGTTAGTTACAGAGGGCTTCGCAGAAATTCACAATATTGAGAACTCATTTCTTGCTTTGAGACTATGGTTATAAAATGTTTTCCTCTTTTTCAAAAGAAGACTATGGTTATATATGGTAGGATTGGGGGACACGCTTGTGACATATTTTGACATTCACGGTTCGGATCATTGAAATACACTACGAAGTGGGTCATACAAAAGTGTCAATGTTTCTCCGAATCCTAACCCATATATATATATATATGTGTGTGTATTATTTTTATTCTCATGCACATTAAATATTGTACAGAAATATGGTAGACCTTGTAGGAGGATTCGAAATTGAGACACGAGAAAAATCTTAGAAAAGTCTTAGTTTGTCGTTTGCTTTTGTTGGACCTTAGTTGAATCAAAGGTCTCTGAATTATGTTAAGACCAGTCAGTTTTAGAAAAACAAAAGTTGGGCCTATATGTTTGTGCTGTCCTTCGGTTTACAACGTTTTCTTTTCTATAAGCCGATGTAATTTGGTTACAACTTAAGCCCAATTTAAAAAAAAAATTAAATTTTATGGGAGCCAGTGTGGGTTGATTTGGTTTTATTGAGAGAGAGAGAGAGAGAGAGAGAGAGAGATGGGGGTATGGATAGAAGTGGGTGAGATGTCTTTTTGTATGAAATCACTTTAAGCCCATGGTTTTTCTTTTCTATTATTTTATTGAATTGTGAATATATAGCTAAATTGTCTTTTTACACTTTTTTAATCAACAAATTTTTTATTAATGGATAGGTATGAATAAATTAATTTTTTTAAAGAAATAGGTAGATAATATCGTTTGTTAAAAAATAAAAAAAAGTATGTGGATATATTGGAGGACTAAGAGATCATGGAGCTCTATTGAAAAATTCCTTAAATCACCTTATTTGAGAGAGAGGTAACGTGGGGCTTGCTCCCAAATTTATTTCAATGAATTGAATAGTTTGTTTTTTAATCTTTTGTTAAAAAATCATTCTTACAAAGAATTCGAGGAACACAATATTTTTTTTTCATTGAGACGAACAAATATTTTAAGAAAGGGCAATATTATTTAGACACACAATATGGAATTACTTTGCTGATCAACTCTTTTATATAGGTGACCATACAGACCACTCAAATGACAACCGTTTAATTAGTGGTTAAATGGCTTCATATTTAAATGATATTTTACTACATTGGTAATTTTTGAAGGAAGACCAAAAGCTAAATACTTTGAATGACGGAAATAGAAGACGGAGTGAACTCTTAAGAGTGTCTCAAGTAATGTTACTTGAGGATCCTTCATTGAATCTACCACCCTATACATTGATACATAAACCCCATATATAGGTGCATATTCCAAAGCAATATGAGATATGGTCCCGTATATGCATGTGCTAGGTCACAGAGATTAGAGATACATCTTTACGAGGTTTGATTAACAACGTTTGATTCATTGGGACCTTTAGTTTTGCTTACAATTATCGTAATTTTTTCCTTTTTTTTTTTCCCAATCAAATACTACAACAATAACAATCAAGTCTTATCCCATTAAGTGAGGTCGACTATAAAAATCTTAGAACGTCATTGCGTTAGGTTTTGCTTCAAGTCTTCTGGTAGCTCCAGTGACTCCATATCTTTTTTTGCAGTCTTTTTGAAGTCTTCATACGTCTTTATCAACCCATTTTGTCATGAACGTCAGCATCATAGTCACATCTTCTAAACCAGAACATCCAATCAAATAACAAGGTGGAAAAAAGGACCACTTTCATAAAAAATCAATCAAAATATACATACTTATACAAGGATAATGCTAAAGGAAGGACCACTCTATTTAACTAATGTTTGATTAGCATCATCACTACAACCACGTGTTCACTTTTTGTTAGTTAATTTACATGAGTAAATCATTCCATTACCATATGTAGAATATTGCTCTTTAATTAGTACTAAATATCCAGCTTAATTACATTACATGATGTTTTGGCCCCCCGTCTCTCAGCTTAATTTACTCATAATAATAATATGCAACTTTCTCCGACATCCTTGAGTATTATCCACTATTAATTGCATTATCTCTTTGTATAAAATTCTACATGTGATGGAAGAGTTCAAATCTTATGTACCCAAAAGAGGTGTGACCTGCCTATTTTTGTGATACATGTCCACTCACTTAAACCAACTTAACAGTGTCACCTCTCTCTTATCACCTGACTAACCCTTCATCTGCCTTTCCCAACCCTGCCGCTGCCATTTGCATCCCCAAACCTCCCACCATCACCATCTCCCAAATTCCGGAAAATAGAAAGCTCTGCGGCCCCCTTTCTACAATATTCCTTCATCTACCATATTATTGGAGAGATACCTCTGGAGCAGCCCCATCTTTTTTTTCTTGAGTACCTCCCAGCACTGGTTACTCATGTGCACAACAGATGCACACGCATCGTTTCCTTCTAAAAAAAAACCATCATCTTCGACGGATGCGACCAGGAAGCTTGAAAAAATCGGCATTGGCGATGATTTGATTCAGCATGCATGGAACGAGAGCCCTAGATTCTCCACAGTTCAATCAAGTCACCAAGTGGTTCTATCAATCGTATTAATCTTGATAAGTAGAGATCTTAACACGAATACATTATTATTATTGTTGTTGTTATTGTTTGTTGTTATTATTACTACTACTACTATATTATTCAATCATATTAATCTTGATATATACAAAAACAAAAAACAATAGAAGGCAATAAGCAACAACAAAAAATGGCATGGTCAATAACCTAGTCATTCTCCTTTTGTTTGGAAAAAAATCGTTTAGTTAGAAAATTTAGACTTTTTATATTAGCACTCCACAAAATATTGAATGCACACCATATTGAATTTTAATACTAAATGATTTATGTATCCTACTATGCAATGACAATTTTGACCTTATTAGGTTTTAAAAAATAAAAATTTTCTAAATACACCACAAATCACTTTTATTATTTATCTTCTTCAACTATCGAAACTTCTCCCACCCTCCATTTTTTTATGGTTATTTTCAACTAGGTTTATCTAACAGAATAGAAAGTACAGAGCATTTAGGAAGCATGAATACTACAAATTGGATGAACATGACATATATCCGATAGCTATAAAATTTGTTAGCAAACCATAATTTTTTATATGAAAAATGCCTACAAATTCGTAAGAGCTTTTGGTTTCATTACACAAGCCAAATATTGCTTCGTAAGATACTACATCCAAACACAACTTAAAAGTTCACATGTATCAAAATCATCATAAAAAATTAATAGGCTACATAGGCAAGCCCTTGCCTGAACAAAAGAGTAGAACGAAAAACAAAATCATAAGACGTTTAATTTCTAAGATGTTAGAGCGTGATTCGGATGGTGAAGCAGTAAGCTCGAGTCACAGTTCAATGAGCCAACTAAGCCGTTTAAAAATAAACGAAAAAAAAAAATCATAAGACATTTAAAAATGAGTGTTATAAGATTTGAAAAATGTGGGGTATATGAAGAAAATGTGAGGTGTATCTTGAGAATGTAGGGTATGAGGGTATTATAGGGAAGTATATGAGGTGTATTAAGATAATTTTTAATTACAAAAACAAATGTAGGGTGTATTAAGTATGTGAAGTTTATTCAACAATACGTAAGGTGTTAATAATATAATAAACCAAAATTTATAAAAGGAAAAAAAAAAATAAAAAACACTTTATACTCCTATCTAGCTAGGAGTAGGTCTACAAATTATAATGTTACGAGGATTAACGTAATAATTAGAGTATAGTTGATATTATTTTGATTATTATTTTCACATTGATATTTATAGACTAGTTCTGAACGGACCTCTCTAGTTTCTTCTCCTGATCGAGAAGATCGAGTTTGCACTCATTGATATATATAGCTACCTGCGTGCAGAAAGAAAATTCAATGATCAGAGTTCACGAGACACACGGTGGCGAAGCCACTTGAGGACTAGGAAAGGTCCGCACATATTCTAAAGTTTCTTCACCTTATAGCTTCTGTTTGTATGGTTTTGGTTGGATACTCTACATTCTTCGATTTGTGTGCTTTTCTTCCCAATTAACCTTATAGGAACTAGCCATCTTTATTAGTTAGTTCACCATTTTGCATGATTTGTTTTACAATGAAACTACACATGTATGGAATACATGAAGAATTTATTTTGAAAGACAACTTTCATAGCTACATTTTGAACCATGATTATTAATTTTTGTTCAACTTGTATGTAAGAACTTATAAAAAAACTAAGTGCTTACGATATCTCAATTTTTTTTTTCGTGGCTCCATTACTCTTTTTTTATTAAAATTTTCATTACATTACAAAAAATGAACATTTTTCTCCCACTAATTATATTATTTTTGTCCAATATTTCTTTTATACGACTTGGAGGCCCCCATAACTTCTATTTCTAGCTCCGAGACACACATGCTATATATAAAATAAGTACGCTGCCATGGGCGCATTGCACCCTTCTGCCTATCTAACTCCTCACATACGCAAGAGTTCATTGGCACGTTGCATTTGCAACACGAAAGTTTCTCCCTCAAAAGTGAAAATTGCCATATATCTATGTAACTAGACGTCCCATGTGAATGTAATTTGGTAGGTATTGCAGCTAGATGCTACTCGATAGTGTGAAATGTGTTTGTGATAGCAGATATATTTTTCCTCCTTTTAAAGTACAGATCGGTACTGGTACTAAAAGTAAAGCATGGCAGCAACGATCATGTCTCTGTTATTCTGGGGAAAAAAAAAAAAAAAAGAGTGTTACCGCGGGGAAAGGGATGATCCCAGCTTAAACCAACAATGAAACTCAAATTTAGAAGATGAGAAATCCATTAAAAACAACTCTTAAAAGAAGTAGAAATTCAGAACTCTTGAAAGATCATGAACAAAAGCTGCATCATCACACGGAAGACAAGAATCTCATCAATGAATTCCAACATGACCGACACCAAAGTTTACTAAACAATTAGTCACTTGATTACCTTCACGATATATATATGAGAAAGCCAAATCCCCATGGAAGAGAGAATTGTTAATAATTAGACCAATCAAACGATAAAGGGTTT